GCTCGTTACCATGGAAATATTCTGAGCTCTTACATATGTAGTACTAGTGACTTAATTAAAAATATTTTCTCTAATCTCATTTGAATATATTGACATTATCCAGTGTATGTAGTTTTTGTTCACAAAATGGTACAACAGCATGAGCTCCTTATAAAAGAAGTAGTTCTAATTCCTAACTCTACCACTGTCTTCAAATAAGCTCCTGGTACATTCTGGAGAGTAGCAAAAATTAATGAAAATATAATGCTTCCTCTTTCCACTTCCCAGTGTAATTTTATGCCTTCATAAGCTATCATTGGATGTGAAGGAATATGTACTACGCAAGAGTATTGAATTGGAGTATTTTTGTGGAACCCTCCCATCAGAGAAAGACAGTACCAATGCTTCAAATTCAGAAAGGCTTTAAAGACAGTTTTTATTGTAAAAGAGAGAAAAATATATTAAAAGCTACTGGTCTACACAGTTACTGGAAGATAATTTTGAATAATAATATTAATATCAAAAGTTACCTGCTAACTTGCAACAATGATTATGGGCTTGAACTTAAGGAAAAACTGAATGTATCGGTTGCAGTTCTGGTAATCAAGGGTTAGGTTTTAAGTTAGCACATATCCTTTTAAGAGTTGAGATATCCAGCAAAGCAAGGTTAACACAAAGTTAAAAGTACTTTGTGGTTATATAAGAAAAATGTCTTCATTCATTGGGAGATGCACATAGAAGTATTTAGAGGTAAAATGTTGTAATGTCTCAAAATTATTTCCTGCTGCTTTAGGAAACAAATTGTGACTCACATATATACACAGTGAGAAAGACAGCATGCTTGCAATGAGAGGAAACATCAACAAACGGGACAATCACTTGCCTTTTTTCATTAAATAGACCACTTGATTCTAACTATTCTAACTCCATCTGTTTCATAGTGAAATGAACACAGAGTATCTCCACTGTCCAAGGCACTTATTACTTTACTTCACCTCTGGTTTTCCCTTGGTTATGCGACTTTGCCATTTGAAATGCCTTTTCTTACTGACAGCTAAGTTCTGAATAACTCTACTCTTCAAGAATATATATGGTTCTTCCAACATTGTTCTCAGTAAGCATATTCTGAAAGTATGTATTAATAACTGTATCTATTCCCAACACAACTCTCCTTCGGTTCCCTTAATATATTTTGTCTCTATCTTTTTAGGACTTTCTACACTAAATCTTTTTTGCCTTTTCCTTCAAGCATCTTGCCTTATCTTATAAATGTGAGACTTTGACTAATCTCATCTTACTCTTTATACTACTACCTAGAAGGTGTTTTAAACATTTTAAAAATAATTTAATATGAAATACCATTTAAAAAAAAGATTTACCTGAGAGGCAGAGTTACAGACAGAGAGAGGGGCTTACATCTGCTGGTTCACTCCCCAAATGCCAGCACCTGCTGGAGCTGAGCTGATCTGAAGCCAGGAACAGGAGCTTCTTCCCAGTCTCCCACATGGGTGTAGAGGTCCGAGCAGTTGGGCTGTCTTCCACTGCTTTCCCAGGTGCATTAGCTGGATCAGAAGTGGAGCAGCCAGGACCCAAACTGGTGCCCATATGGGATGCTGGCGCCAAAGGCAGATGCTTAACCTACCACACCACAGCACCAGCCCCTGTTTTAACCTTTTACAAAGACAGTGATAGCCTCTGTGACAGATAGCCTCAGTATAATAATTTGATTCTAGAATTGTATTGTAATTCATATAGTGGTAAAGCATGATAATTCTATGCTTATCCCCAAAATTATAATTATTTAAAATAAAATCTCATTCATGCAATGGAACAAATGTGCAAAACTGTGCTACTAAGAATCACATGCAGTTGTATAATGGACAACTCTATGGTGTTCTTTCATCTCATTTAATGTGGTATGCTAGCTCTATATCAGTCTTTAACAAGAATGGTAGCGATGATTGGACATTGGTGATATCCACTAAGCTTCTAGCATATTGTTAAGATAATAGCTTAATAGGGACCTTTCATAAAAATCTTAGACATGAATTTGGTAATTGAAATTGACTAAATCAAAGAGTGTGTGAAATTGACATGTTTAGTAAGAAATAGAAATTGTGATGATAGGAAGAATGAATTCTTAGACATAGCTGAGTGATAATCCCAACACTTAAAATTACTTGGCTTGAAGTTTCTTCAGCTATATAGGTTGATCATGAATTCATTTGCTTATTCATACATTCATTCATTCATTTAGGAAGTCATGTGTTGCATTGGTTAGAAGACACAGTTCTAGGCACCAGTGCTAAAGAAATGAGTGAGAATACAGACCTCAAGGGGGTTACAATCTATTGGGAAAACAGAAAGCACATGGACAAGTGTTTACATAATATAACATCAAATAACAGTGCATCCTATGAAAAATGTTAAAGCGAAGTCTGGATCAAGTGAACAGGATGGGCAGGAAGTGTTTCATACAGGTCAGTCAGAAAAGGCCTTTCTGAGGAAATGAGATTGGGAGGGGAGGAGAGAGGATGCCCTGCATGCATAGTGAAAAAACCATTCCGGGGAGGGGGAACAGCAAGGTCAAAAGCCACATCAGGTGCTTCTGTGGGGTTAAATGAAAATCTTAAACTTACTAGTGCATAATGAAGTATTTATTAGGTGTTAGGTATTATTTTAAAATAACAAATGTAGATAATTCCATATTATTTTGAGTCTTCTTTGCTCTAAGATACACCTTTCTTTTCACATGGATCATTTTCACTTTCCTGAATTAGAGACATACATACGCGCACACTCGCACACTCACCCTGTTCTCAGAGCTTTTAGGTTACCCTCGTTTTAATTTGCAATGAGTTAAACTTTGCTTACAATACTCAGTTGTTACTGCTGCTAGAGATCCTCTTTCTTGGTCCTATTGTGCTTAACAGTTGCAGACTTTGAGCAAACTAATTATCTTGCTAACTGCTGGTCAGCTGCCCTCTCTAAGCAGGAAATCCACAACTTCTCTGTGATGATGATAATGTTGATTTTCCTACCCTCTGGGCACCTATTGTTTTGCATGCACATGCAGAGAGGAGTGATTAAAAAAAATGTCAAGATTCCATTTGGAAGGTGATGCTTCAAGGAAATTCAGGAAGCCCAATCACACCTCACCCTTACAATCCCCCATTTCCCACCATGTTTCCCCCTTTACACTCCCCCTGATGCTTCTGAAATGAGAACAAAGTGACTGTTTACCTTTGTCTGTGGTTGTGAAACCTCTGGCTGAGCTCACTTACTTTTCTTTCTTTCCATATTATTTGACTGTAAAATGCTTATTCTTGATATCTTCAGACTGGGTCAAATCAGAGAGAAAAACCACACAGTAATTTGAACATATAAAGTTTATTTGAAAATATTAAATGTAACAGGAGATCAGAGCAGTGAAGGGATTACCTAGCATGAAAGAACGATGCATTGGTCTTCTTGGGCTGCTGTAACAAAATACCATAGATAGTGTGAGGAGTCAGATGGCTCAATAGATAGGAATTCCCAATGGGATTTGGGGTGTGAAATATTTGCAAGAACAAACAGGCTGCCCTCCTTCCTTGGAATCTCCACATTTACCAAGAGAATAGCAAGGGAACTCCTCCTGAGCTCACAGCTTATTGTGAAAAAAAGTTAGCTACCCCACCCTTAGCAGGCCAGACCGGATGGAGAATTGTAAATGAAGTCTTTTGCTGGTTTTTATCCCTGCCTGGTAACTGAAGGTCACTCTGGTTGTCAAGTATTTTTTTTGCTTCGAGAAATTGTACTTACAAAGCCCATTGCCACCAGGCCCTTTGGGTTTATTCCTCTCTTGGAAGTCCCCTCCATGCCCCTCTGGTTGGAGGTCCTTGATTCTAAATCCCTTTGGCATCCACTTGGAACAATAATTTCTCTGCCACTGTTTTCCCCTAACAGTGGGATGGCTTACACAGTTGGTATTTATTTCTTACACTTCTTGTATCTGGGAAGTCCAAGACCAAGGTGCCAGTCCATTCAGTTTCTGGTAAGGGCTCTCTTCTTGGCTTACACATAGCTACCTCCTTGCTGTGTGCTCACAGAACCTCTTTGTGAGTATGGGGGGCGGGGAGGGGGGAGAGAAAGCTAGCTCTCTGGTTTCTCTTATAAGGACATTAGTGCCAGTAGGAGAGCCCCATCTCTCATTACTTCATCCATTCCTGACTACCTACCAAAGACTCCATCTTCAAAAACCATCACACTGGAGGGGGTGACACAAATATTCTGTCCGTGACAAGGACAACCATAAAGAGTAAACGATTGGCTGCAGTTCCCCTCATGGTGGAGCTGCGTAACCAAGACAAAGTTCCCATCCTTCCCTCCTCATACCACAGAGATCTAAAGCTTATTGCGTGGCCCAGCCATGGCTGCCTGAATGGCAGAGTTGCTGTAGTGGCGGATCCTGTTTTCAATCTGCCCTCTGGAGGTTCACAGGGACCTACCCTCGTAGTTACCTGGGCAAGCTTTCCTTGGGAAGGTGTCTCACCAAGGGCGCCACTCAAAAGCCATGCCTCTGACCTCCACGCACTGCAGGAGCCAGGTGCGAGAGAAGCCTCGCCCCTGCAAGCATCTGCCAAGCAAGCACACCATGAAGCAAACCCTTTCCTCCGGAAATGTCCACCACCCTCTACTCACACAGCTTCGGGGCCGACTAGCAAAGGAACAACACTTCCAAGACACAAATTTAAGGCAAAAATGTTTATTGAGAGGCAGTACATCAATAACCAGCACCCTGATACAGGCCAAGAATAAATACCAGCTGAAGCAGGCGCAATGAGGAATACATTGTTATCAGGGTAAATAAACTACTTTTCAATGTCACTCTCAGTTTTAGTCATGGCTGCATCCTCTGTGCCTAGAGTAGGAATTTGATTCCAATATCGATGCACAGCAAATATTTGTTGAGTGAATAAATGAATGAACTGATGGCTTAACTTTTTCCCTAATGTTTCTCTCTTTCTGTTTTATTATAGCTGATGGATGCACTGATTGGTCTGTTGATATCAAGAAATACCAGGTTTTGGTGGGAGAGCCTGTTCGAATCAAATGTGCGCTCTTCTATGGTTATATCAGAGCAAATTACTCCCTTGCCCAAAGTGCTGGACTCAGTTTGATGTGGTACAAGAGCTCTGGTCCTGGAGACTTTGAAGAGCCAATAGCTTTTGATGGAAGTAGAATGAGCAAAGAAGAAGATTCCATTTGGTTCCGACCAACATTGCTGCAGGACAGCGGCCTCTACGCCTGTGTCATCAGGTATCCTTTCAGTTTTCTTACTGCTTGATCAGTGAAACCACATACTACTTTCTCATACTTGAGCTTTGCGGCCATGTATTTCACCGAAAGGTATTGTCTCTGTGTATGCTCCTGCTTTCTAAGATCGCAAATCTAAAATCATAAAAAGATGAGATTGGAATTTATATTGAGACATTATTTCTAGCTTACAGAGAAAAGAGATACCATCTGGGTATCTACTTATGTTGCCAGAAATTACTAAAGACTACGAAATAAAATTTATAGAGGAGGTGAAATGTTGCAAATAAAATGTAAGCAAAGACTTGCAGAAGGAATGCATAGTTTATTGCTAAATGAATTGTAACATTTTGTTATTGCCCTTCACAGAGAGACAGAGCCCAGATACTTCTGGCTCACACACATCTGCAAAGATGATTTAGGTAGTGTGTATGTGCACAGGAAGAGGAGGGCAGCATTTCCATGTTAGGGAATACAAAGTCATTTTCCAGATCATTTTGTTAACTAAAATTTCTGGGTCAGTACAAAAATTTTCCTGTCTTTCAGGGCCAATACCAAAATTAATAACAAAGTCTCTGCCATTATCCCCAGGGAAACTCATCACACATATACAGCATCTTGGTCAGCTTGCTGCAGAGACGTATCTAGTTTGTGTAATGATAATACATTGAAAGGGTATCCATGTAACACATTAGCAGTTAAAATCTCAGTTTAAGTGTTTAGCCCTTCATGGACTGTGAATCACACCTTGCATGAAGGACTGTGGATGTCGTTAGACTATTAGAACATTAACAAAGCTAGGCATAGGCATATAAAGTATATTTGGCATCCTGTGTTTTAGTTTATTCTGAGAAATAAAATTTAAAGCAATTGTTTCTTGACTTGCAGAAGGTCTCAGAATCATATAGTGTTTATTTCAAAGAAAACTTTAACTTCTACTTTTTAAATTTTGATCAGCACCTGTCACTCCCCTGTGATAAGGATCATGCCTCTCCCACTATTACCATAACAATTGCTTTAATGCTAACCAGTGTCTACAGGTGTGCTAGAACATCAAAGTACGTCAAGGTCACATAAGAGTCAAACAGAAATGTATCTTCCTTACATTGAGGACATATATTATAACTTAGAGTTAATGTTGAAAAATATAAATGAATTGGCAACTGTTGTTCTTTCTCATGGAGTCAACCAATGTTTTTGTATTCAAATATAACTCTTAGCCACCATATAAATTTTTAGGGGCATTTATAAATAATTGTCATATAGTACAGTTAAAGGATGTTGTTTGTACCAGCTATTCTCACTGGACTCAATAGTAAATTCATTTTAATTTTATATCTTTTGAATTTCTTTAAACAGTTACTTCTGATTGTTCATGCATGTGTAGAGGTGATTCTTGGATGTAAGCAGTGTGTGTCCTCATTTATGTGAGATTAGAATTGAGTTAAATGTCTATAGTCTAACACTTGATTTCATTACTTACTGTTGATGGGAAAATATTGATGTTTTCACATTAGTAATCAAAACTTTGAAAGCACTGAGTTTACATGATTTTGATGTGTTTAAATATACTCTGTGATCCAGTACTCTGAGAAACGACATTAAAATGCCCCCATATTTATAGTTGCAGTAATGAATGGAAGGTTGAAAAGTTTCCAAAACAATGGTATTTACCATATGTTCCTATGTCTACATTGTAATGGAAAACGAACCATAAAGGTAAACAACTTAGAGGTTAATGTGTGCCAAGTGGCATTCTAGGAAAAGTGATAAACAGCGGAAGAGATACTATTCTATTGAAATTCAAACATGCCAGCTGATGTGAAGCTAGTGTTGCTATTCCTTCCTTTCACAATTTGGAAAGGGGTACTCAAAATCTTCATAAACAACACTTGAATTAGCATGACTTGGTGTTGATCTGAGAAAGCCCAAGGGTTGGTAGTTGAGCAACTGACATTTTGGCACATTGTTAGCTATCAGGCCACAAAACTGTCACTGTTAGTTTTTAAATAATCCATTTTCAAAGAATTTTAAAAACTTGACAATATTCACTCCTGTTCAAAGATTCTAGTCTTTCTGTTAAGTGTTCTGGGTATTAATATCAAGGTAATGGTTTTACAAACCATCTATTTACAATTAATTTTATACCTTAAACTGTGTAATTAAATGGCATAAATAATGGAAACACCTAAAATTATTATCATTATAATGAGCAAGAGATTTTCTAACCCCTTCCATTAATATCTATTTTGTACAGAGTAATACCATATAAATTTTTTTTAAAAAATCTGTTTATTTGAAAGGCAGAGTTAGAGAGAGAAAGAGAGAGAAAGACAAGGAGACACAGAGAGATCTTCCATGAGCTAGTTCCTCAAATGGCTATAATGGCCAAGGCTGGAACAAGTGGGAGCCAGGAGCCAGGAGCCAGGAGCCTCTTCTAAGTCTCCCAAGTGGGTACAGGAGCCCAAGGAATTGAGCCATCTTCTGCTGCTTTCTCAGGTGCATTGGCAGGGAGCTGGATTGTATATGAAGCAGCTGGGATGTGAACTGGCACCCGTATGGGTTGCCTGAAACTTGAGGCCATGGCTTAACCTGCTGTGCCATAGCGCTGGCCCTACCATATATTTCTTTAGTACATAGTACTTGGCTTTTTGCTTAGTTCTCTCCTTGAATTTTTATTTTGTTGGTATTTTTGAATGAAAAGTTGAATGAAGGAGAGTTTTTAAAATTTTTGTTGCTTTTGTTTTATTGCCACTATCTGAACAAGTTTATTTTACTTAAAAATAAAATAAAACTTGCCTGTACTCTCAAATTCCAGCTTTCTATTTCCCCTTCCCAGAGTCACTACCTCTTAGAAGTCTCATATGCAGAGCTAGCTCATGGGTTTGCAAATATCTCAGTGCCCTGAAGGGAGGCATGCTATGTTGTTTGCCACCCTATTTTTTATTAAAATTTTATGTTTGAGATAATTACAGATTAATATTCAATTGCAGGAAATAATATAAATACAACCCCTGTACCCTTTGCCTGGCTTCACTCAATGGTAGCATTTTTCAAAAACCATAGTTTTTCTTTTTTTTCATATTTTATAGTTTGTTTCTTTTTTTAACTTTTATTTAATAAATATAAATTTCCAAAGCACAGCTTTTGGATTATAGCAGCTTTTCCCCCCATAACCTCCCTCCCACCCGCAGCCATCCCATCTCCCGCTCCCTCTCCCATCCCATTCACATCAAGATTCATTTTCAATTATCTTTATATACAGAAGATCAATTTAGTATATATTAAGTAAAGATTTCAACAGTGTGCACCCACGCAGAAACACAGAGTATAAAGTACTGTTTGAGTACTAGTTATACCATTAATTCACATTGTACAACACATTAAGGACAGAGATCCTACATGGGGAGCAGGTGCACAGTGACTCCTGTTGTTGATTTAACAATTAACACTCTTATTTATGACGTCAGTCATCACCCGAGGCTCTTGTCATGAGCTGCCAAGGCTATGGAAGCCCCCTGAGTTCACCGACTCTGATCATATTTAGACAAGGCCATGGTCAAAGTGGAAGTTCTTTCCTCCCTTCAGAGAAAGGTACCTCCTTCCTTGATGGCCCGCAAAAACCATAGTTTTTCAAAACCCACCATTTTTCAAAAACCAAAATCATTATGCTGACATTGATATAGTCAAGATACAGAACAGTGTCCTTACTTCAAGGGTCCTTCCTGTTGTCCCTTTATAGCTTCATCCATCTGTACTCAACCCTAATCCCAAATCTTAGAAACAATTAATCTGCTCTTTATAATTTTGTCAATTCAAAAATGCAATTGGATTTTTCACACAGCGTAGTTTGAAGTTAGTACATGTGTTGATAGTTTATGCCTTTTAATTGCTGAGTAGTATTCCAGGATATAGATCGGCTACTTCATTTATTTGCTCATTGAAGGGTTTATTTCCAGTTTTCTGCTACTGCACTAAGTTTTTTTGTGAACTATTTTCAGATATGTGGGTGAACTATGTTTCATTTTCCTGGAGTAAATGCTCAAGAGTTTATGTGTGTTTATAATTGTATTTTCCATTTGACATTCCGAACAGCAACATATGAGATTTTTAGTTTCTCCACATCCTTGCAATATTCGATATTGTCATTAGTTTTAATTTAATCATTCTGCTAGGTAGATTATGATATCTCATTGTGATATTAATTTGCATTTTCCCAATGCCTAATGATGACTAATGTATTTTCATGTCTTCATTTGCCATCTTTATCCTCTTCAGTAAAATGTCTGTTCATATTTTTGCACATCTTATAATGGAATATCTTGTGTTCTCTTACTTGAGTCATTTTAAAAATTCAATTTATTTGAAAGTCGGAAGAACAGAGAGGAGACTGACAGAGAGAGAAAAGGCAAGAGAGAGAGCAAGCTTGTGCACATGTGTGTACAACAGAGATCTTGCATTTGATTGTTCACTCCCCACATGCCTACAAAAGCTAGGGCTAGGTCAAGCCACAGCCAGGAGTCAGGAACTCCATCTGAATCTCCTATGTGAGTAGCAGGAACCCAAGTACTTGAGCCGTTATCCACTGCCTGTCAGGTGCATTAGCAGGTGGCTGAATTGGAAATGCTAAGTAGCAGGGATTGGAACCAGGCACTCTGATATGGCAAGCAGCCATCCTAAGCAGCAGATTAACCCACTGAACCTTAGCACAACCCCTGAATTTTGAGAACTAATTGTGTATTCTAGATACAAGTCCTTTTTCAGATATGTGGTTTGCAAATATCTATTGCCACACTATAGTTTATGTTCCCATCCTAATTTAAAGGTTCTTTTACTGAACCAAAGCTTTTAGCTTCGATGAGGTTCAGGTTATGAATTTTTCCTCTGTAAATCATGCTTTTGGTGTGAAGTGTAAAAACCCTGCCTAGTTCTAGCTCCTGAATTTCTTTTCTTTTTTGTTTTTAATTAAAAAAATACCATAAGTTTGGTTTACACTTTACATT